GGGGGAGGGGGGGGAAGAGGGCTGTAACTCAGAAACCGAAGCCACATCCAGAAGGGGATGAGGAAACTAACATCAAGGCACTTGGGTGTAAAATAGATAGTAGGAAGAAATACACCTGGGCCTAATGACACTCGGCTTTAATTTTAAAATATTTTTATTGAATCTTTGAGCATTTCATACAATGTATTTTAGTCATATTCAAATCATATCAGACCTTCTCCCCAATCTCCACCCCTCCCTTATAACACCCCCCCCATTTCATATCCTCTATTATCTTTTTAAGGCCTATCAAGTCTAGAAGCTGACATTTCTTGTCCACCTCCCCCATCTGTGCTCAGGTTTTGTCTGGCTTGGACTTGCACAGGTCTTCTGCATTCTGTCCCAAGCACTTTGGGTTCACATGTGCAACTGCCCTGTTGTGTCCAGAAAACATGGTTTCCTCGTGTTCCTCCACCACTCTGGCTCTTACAGTCTTTCCATGCCCTCTTCTGCAATGATCCCTGAGCCCTGGGAGGAGAGGGCGTGACACAGGTGTCCCACTTAGGGCTGAGCACTCTGTAGTCTCTTAGTCTCTTGACCAATTGTGGATTTCTGTGTCAATCCCCATCTGCTGAGAGAAGAAGCTTCTCTGGTGAGAGCTGAGAGATGCTAATCTATGGGTGTAACAATAAGTGACTTTGGATTTCAACAAACGTTGAAAGCAAGGATGTCAACTAACTTCTCATAAACCAAAGGAAATTTTAAAACTTTAAAAAGCCATGCATGGTGGCACACACCAGTAATCTAGAAATTGGGAGGTGGAGGCAGGAAGGTCGGGCGTCCAACACCAAACTCTGCCACATGAGACTGAGGGAGGTCTGGGCTGCATGAGACCCGGCCTCAAAAAAAAAAAAACAAAACAAAAAAACAAGCGGCAACCTAAGTCAAGTTGTTTAGTAATTTCTACCTCTGAGAAGACACCGTTGAAGCCATTTGCCTGGTGAGAAGTCACACTAGAGTGGCAAGCACTCAACAGCCCAATGCACGTGTCTCTTTCCCCTTTGGAGCTCACTCTAGGCTGGTTTAGGGTAGGTTGGCTAGTGGGCTGGTTGGCTGGGTTGGGGCACAATGGTGCGCTGAGCAGTGGGAAAGACTGACCAGGGAAGAAAAGCTGCTCTAAATAAGTCTCCTCAAGAAGACCACCAGCTGGGAAGCAAGAGGAAAAACACAGTCAGCAGGACTGAGTACCAAGTCAGGGACAGAAGACACGGCCAGGCCAGCACCCAGTACGAGCACCAAGTCGGGGACAGAAGACACGGCCAGGCCAGCACCCAGTACGAGCACCAAGTCGGGGACAGAAGACACGGCCAGGCCAGCACCCAGTACGAGCACCAAGTCGGGGACAGAAGACACGGCCAGGCCAGCACCCAGTACGAGCACCAAGTCGGGGACAGAAGACACGGCCAGGCCAGCACCCAGTACGAGCACCAAGTCGGGGACAGAAGACACGGCCGGGCCAGCACCCAGTACGAGCACCAAGTCGGGGACAGAAGACACGGCTGGGCCAGCACCCAGTACGAGCACCAAGTCGGGGACAGAAGACACGGCCGGGCCAGCACCCAGTACGAGCACCAAGTAGGAGAGGAGACTCAGCTTCACATCGATGGTTTCATTTCTCAAACAATCCACTGTCTTTGTGTGTATGCACAGTGTATGTACCTGTTTGTGTGTACGTGTATGTGTGTGTGTGTATGCACGTTTGGGCCAGCACCCAGTACGAGCACCAAGTCGGGGACAGAAGACACGGCCGGGCCAGCACCCAGTACGAGCACCAAGTAGGAGAGGAGACTCAGCTTCACATCGATGGTTTCATTTCTCAAACAATCCACTGTCTTTGTGTGTATGCACAGTGTATGTACCTGTTTGTGTGTACGTGTATGTGTGTGTGTGTATGCACGTTTGTACATGCATGTGGAGGCCAAAGGTTGACACCAGGTGTTTTTTGAGACAGGTTTTCTCACTAAACCCAGATCTCACTGATTCATCAAGGCTGGCCAGTCAATGAGCTCCAGGGATCTGCCTCTCTCTACACCCCCCTCAGCCATGCTGGAGTTACAGATGTGTGCCATCACACATCACTTTCATGTGGTTGTGGTTACTGAGGATCCAAACTCGGCCTTCACATGTACAGCAGGCACTGTACTGAGCCATCTCCTAGTCCCTCGTGAGTGAGTGTTAGTGAGGCTGAGTGACACACAGCCATAGCTCCAGCTACTGGAGAGGCTGAGGCAGGAGAACTGCTTGAGCCCAAGAATTCAAGGCCAATCTGGGCAACATGGCAAGATTTCATCTCAAACAAGGAAACAAAAAGTTTAAACACAGACAAGCAAAAAGAAGAAACTCAGTCTCATCCATCTTATCAGATGAGAACTACAGTTAACCATCTGGAGTATATTCTCCTAGGCTCTGTCAGTCTCCCAGTTAAATATGTACATGTGTGTACAATACACACACAGAGATGTGCCTGCATTCATCCATGCACACATACAGCCATGTATATATACAAACACAGAGACGTGTGCATGTATACACTTAACACACATGTACAATAATGTATACAGTTGTTTCTACCAAAATGAAACCATACTATGCAAAAAAAAAGAAATTTCTTTCAAATAATAATCATAGGCATTTGGAGACACAAGCATATATTGTCAGACAATATAAAACCATTTTTTTATTCCTGAGAAAACCATATCAGACTTAACACAAATACAAAGATAGTTATGTGATCTAGAAATCAGCAGTTATTTGCATAATCCAAACTAGCTCTTCTCAATGAGGAAAATTGAAATGCCGTGATCACTGTTACAGGCAAGAGCCACGGACGCTAAATGAGCGGGCCAGGCTCTGAGGAGAAACAAGGCTTGTGCATACTTCCAAAGCAGAACCCTGAGGTATTGATCAGTTATAGCTTTAGAGTGGAGAAACCCTTTAGAAGTTCCTGCATATGTGTGTATGCATGTGTGGCTTTGTGTGTGCACGTGTGTGGGAGTGAGCATGCATGTGTGTGAATTCATAAGGAGACCAGAGGTCAGGTGTCTTCTCTCATAACTCTCTGCCTTGTTTTTGAAGACAGTGTCTCATCTCTCACTGGCCTGGAACTTGCCAATTAGCCCAGGCTGACTAGCCAGTGAGCCCCAGGGACCAGCCTCTTCCTGCTTTCCAGTGGTAGGATTGCAAGCAAGTACCACCATGGCCAGCTTTTACCATGGGTGCTGGGAATCTGAATTCAGGGTCTCCTGCTTGTGTAGGCACTGTGCTGACAGCCATCTTCCCAGCCCTGAAGACACTACCTTAACAAGCAATCAAGCTCAACAACACCAGCACAGGCAGACATGAACAGCATCATGCATGCCCTGCCACTGAGCCACTGAGCTGCTGAGCGGGACTCATACCTCTATCACAGCCTTACCAGAAACGCAAAACTTCAGGTTTTCCAAACTGAGGTGCATTCTACAAAATAACTGAGGAGCGCTCTTCTCAGTTTAAAGACAAAGCCTGAGAAATTACCATATATTGGAAGTGGTGAAGGACAGGAAAGTTTGATGTGATATCCTGAGTTGGATCTTGAGGTCAAAAAAAGGCTGGTGAATCCTTATTAGGATTAGGCCTATTTTTTGGTTATTTTTTTATATTTGATTTATTATTTTTATTTTACATGTATGAGTATATTGCCTGCATGTATGTGGGTGCACATGTGTTGTGCAATGACACAGAGGTCAGAAGAAGGCTTCAAATTTCCCTGGAACTGGAGTTAAGGACGGTTCGTAGCTGCCATATGGGTGCTGGGAATCGAGCCCAGGTCCTCTGCAAGAGCAGTCAGTGCTCTTAACCACTGAGCCATCTCTCCAGCCCTGTTTTTGTTTGTTTGCTTCTGTTTCTGTTTTTTTGTTGTTGTTGTTAATTTTTAGAGAAGGAAAAACTGGCTCTTCCCTAAAGTCAGTAAAGAAAGAGACCAAACAGGCTAAGGGGGACAGCTTAGTTAGTAATGTGCCTGCCTTGCAAGCAAAGGACCTAAGTTTAATCCCCAGAACGCACATTTGGAGGAAGAAAAAAAAAAAAACTAGGATGTGGCTATGACCTGCAGACCAGAAGATCCAGGACCCCTGGAGCTCACCGGCCAGCCAGGCTAGTCGAACTGGTGGCCTCCAGGTTCCATGAAAGACCCTGTCTCAAAAAATAAAGTGGAGAGTGATTGAGGAAGATATCTGATGTCAACTGCTAGACTATGTGCATGGAAAGAGAGACAGAGACAGAGACAGAGAGAAAGAACTCTAGCCATAACTGCTTCAAAGCCCTGGGCCCAAATCCATGCCCAAAGCATCCTGCACTCCGGGGGAATGCAAAATGGAGGCGGTGTTTAAACGGACATCCTCATCCCTAAACTGTGGAGCAGTAACACGACAATCATTGCTTCAAATCAAACAGAGAAGGAGAAGGACAGAGACACTGCAACAGCGACAGAAACAGACAGACAGACAAAATCTATCTATCACAGTAATAACTGAATTACCTAAAAAAATCTTGGAATTCCTCCTTTTCGGCAAAGCTCCACCAGATGCACCTCTCACCTTCTGAAAAGAAAACAACAGATGGTTAAAATACAGCCCATAAATTAACCAGTTTGACAACGAAATGTGTGCCTCAAAGGTTTCCCAGTACAGAAGGCTGAGAGGAAATTTCTACCTGGACTACAGATGCAGGATAAGCAGGATCCCGGCAGACAGGTAGAGGACCCTTCTACTGCCCCAGGGATTTTCACCAAGTTATAAATCCTCCAGGAAAAGTAAGTACAAACAGAGACTGAGGTGACCTCATGGGCACTGTCCCTCCCAGGAGGGCTGGAGCCCAGGCTGAGGGGCTGACTTGGGGAAAAAAGATGGTGGCTCTCGGAGTCTATGCGCAACACTAACTGTTCATAGATTTTATAACCATTGATAGAGAGTCACTGACATTCTGGTCACCTGAAAATTCAAACTACCCCCCAAAATTGTTTTCTGAGGACCACCAGAGGGTTGGCTGCATTCTAAGCTTTTTTCCTGGCTATTGGGAAGTCGTAGCAAGGTTGAGCAAGTGACCACGACAGGGTTAGACAACCGCAGTCATTCATCGGATGCTCACACACATCACTTCTCTCTCAAACAGATGCTAATAATCTTTGTTTCAATTGGCCCAAACTATTTTCAGACTGTATGTCTTCTTAGCTATTAGAGAACACAGATCATTCACTGAATCCAGGGTTCAACCCCAGCATCCTAACCCCACAGCCACATGAGTCAAGGCCATGCACAGCATTTCATTTGTTTTCTCATTTAATTTGTCTTAGAAGTCCCAGATGTACCCACACTTATTGTCTGGTATTGAAAGCTGACTCAACTCTGTAATTCTCATAAGTTCACAGCTTCCACTGGAGGTTCACAGTTCTCATAAAAGCAATCTCAAAATTACAGAACACTCATCTCAAAAACGTCTCTCCAAACTCCGAGGCTGTGTGTGTCTCCTCTCTAGAATCCTTCTCCCCACCACTCATTCCCTCAAACAGGAATGAAACATGGACCAAACAGCCACTCCACCACCCCGGGCATCACTTGAAATCTCTCCACAGAAGTGTGTGCATCCTCTTCCTTGTCTCGTTTCTGAATGATGGCGAAGAGGGCCTGCACGGGGATGGGTGAACCACTTTGTGGGTTCAGGTCTTAGACTGGGATCAGACCCACTCCTTTTGGGAAAAAAAGAACAAAAGAACTTCCAACTAAAGACTGTGACAGGGCTTGGGAACTGAAACTCTTCCCTCAGGAAATAGGACTGTGCCTGAGTGTCAGGCTCTGTGCTACAGCTCAAGTGCAAACTGAACGAACACACAATAATTCCCTCGGGGAGCTTACCAACACAGAAGGGGAATAAAGTATAGACAAAAAGCACAATAAATCCTGAGAACGAGTAGAAGTTCAAAAGGAGGTGCAATCAGTGAGGGAAATGGTGCATCTGGGGGTGGAGGCGTGGCCAGGACTGGTCACGAAAGAAGAGAGGTGGTGCTCATATACAGAAGATACTCGGTATTGTGGATGAATGAGTTAATGGAGGGGTAAACGGATGGCTGGATTGATGGATAGGTGGATAGGTGGGGGGGGTGGATGGATGGATAGATGGATGGATGGATAGGTGGATAGGTGCGGGGATGGATGGATGGATGGATGGATGGATGGATGGATGGATGGATGGATAGGTGGATAGGTGGGGGGATGGATGGATGGATGGATGGATGGATGGATGGATGGATGGATAGGTGGATAGGTGGGGGGGGTGGATGAATGGGTGGATGTAAGGATGAATAGATGGATAGGTGGATGGATGGGATGGACAGATGCGGGGATAGGTGGATGGATGAATTAATGGAGTAGATGGGTGGGTAGATGGATGAATGGACAGGTGGATAGATGGATAGGTGGATGGATGGGATGGACAGATGCGGGATAGGTGGATGGATGAATTAATGGAGTAGATGGGTGGGTAGATGGATGAATGGACAGGTGGATAGATGAGTAGATGGATCAATAGGCAGACTGATGGAGAGGTAGAGAGATGAAGTAATAGAGAGAGAGATGGATGGATGGATGGATGGATGGATTGATGGGTGGATGGATGAATGGGTAAATGGATAGATGGATGGATGGATGGATGGATGGATGGGATGGACAGATAGGTGGATTGATGGATAGGTAGATGGATGAATTAATGGAGGAGTAGATGGGTGGGTGGGTGGAGGGATGGATAGGTGGGTGGGTAGATGGATTGTTGAATGGCTATTTTTTCCACAGAGAGCACAGATAAGAGAGAAGTGAAGGGAGAAATAAGACAGAGAAAACTCACATACATACATAGGCATGAAATCACAGTGCGTTCCAGAAAGGAGAAGTGGTTTTGCCATGTACGGAACACAAAGGTGATGCAGTAAGACAGAGCTGGAAAGGCCACGGGCCCAATCATGAGCCAGGGTTTGGACTTGGCTCTACAGCACAGGGACACCTGTCAGAGTCTGAGGCCTGTGGGCCACAGGTGACAGCAGTATGCATTGGAAAGACCCAAGCAGGCAGAGTGTGGCCTGAGCAGGAGTGAAGACTACAGGTCTGACGGGAGAGAGAGGAGTCGGTAAGCTGTCTCGGGAACACAGAGCACTGAGCACTGACAGCCAGGGCGGTGTGGGCAGGATGGACTTCAGAGCTGTGTGGGAAGTCTAGATGACAAGACCTGTCACCGGGAAGATTGGTCAGGAAAGCAGAGCCAAAAAATCGCTGGCTTTCTAGAATTCACAAGGGTGGGCAAAGCTGACAGCAGACGCTGAGTGCCGTCTGGGCACACCGGACCTGAGCCGACAGCGGACGCTGAGTGCCGTCTGGGCACACCGGACCTGAGCTGACAGAGGATGCTGAGTGCCGTCTGGGCACACCGGACCTGAGCTGACAGCAGACGCTGAGTGCCGTCTGGGCACACCGGACCTGAGCCGACAGCGGATGCTGAGTGCCGTCTGGGCACACCGGACCGGAGCCGACAGCGGACGCTGAGTGCCGTCTGGGCACACCGGACCTGAGCCGACAGCGGACGCTGAGTGCCGTCTGGGCACACCGGACCTGAGCCGACAGCGGACGCTGAGTGCCGTCTGGGCCCACCGGACCTGAGCCGACAGCGGATGCTGAGTGCCGTCTGGGCACACCGGACCGGAGCCGACAGCGGACGCTGAGTGCCGTCTGGGCCCACCGGACCTGAGCCGACAGCGGATGCTGAGTGCCGTCTGGGCACACCGGACCGGAGCCGACAGCGGACGCTGAGTGCCGTCTGGGCCCACCGGACCTGAGCCGACAGCGGATGCTGAGTGCCGTCTGGGCACACCGGACCGGAGCCGACAGCGGACGCTGAGTGCCGTCTGGGCCCACCGGACCTGAGCCGACAGCGGATGCTGAGTGCCGTCTGGGCACACCGGACCGGAGCCGACAGCGGACGCTGAGTGCCGTCTGGGCCCACCGGACCTGAGCCGACAGCGGATGCTGAGTGCCGTCTGGGCACACCGGACCGGAGCCGACAGCGGACGCTGAGTGCCGTCTGGGCCCACCGGACCTGAGCCGACAGCGGATGCTGAGTGCCGTCTGGGCACACCGGACCGGAGCCGACAGCGGACGCTGAGTGCCGTCTGGGCCCACCGGACCTGAGCCGACAGCGGATGCTGAGTGCCGTCTGGGCACACCGGACCGGAGCCGACAGCGGACGCTGAGTGCCGTCTGGGCCCACCGGACCTGAGCCGACAGCGGATGCTGAGTGCCGTCTGGGCACACCGGACCGGAGCCGACAGCGGACGCTGAGTGCCGTCTGGGCACACCGGACCTGAGCCGACAGCGGATGCTGAGTGCCGTCTGGGCACACCGGACCTGAGCCGACAGCGGACGCTGAGTGCCGTCTGGGCACACCGGACCTGAGCCGACAGCGGACGCTGAGTGCCGTCTGGGCACACCGGACCTGAGCCGACAGCGGACGCTGAGTGCCGTCTGGGCACACCGGACCTGAGCCGACAGCGGACGCTGAGTGCCGTCTGGGCATACCAGACCTGAGCTGACAGTGGACACTGAGTGCCGTCTATGCACACAGGACCTGAGCTGCCTATCAGATGCTGAGAAGACAAACAGAAGTCAGACTGGGATGGCCCAATCTTCAGCTCTATGGAGACACTAACTTGGAAGTCCTTGTGTAGAGCAAGTGGTTAAACAAGAATGATGTACGCAGACCACATCAGAGAAAGAGGAACGGCCAGTCAAACGGCATCCTGGGAATGAAGGTAAGGGGGTTAAGTGAGGAAGCATGCGAGCTCAACAGGCACCCAGGAAAGAAGAGTGAAGACAGGACAGGATGACCCCAAGAAAGCAGGATGAGAAGCCGGGCGTGGTGGTGCACGCCTTTAATCCCAGCACTCCGGAGGCAGAAGCAGGGGGATCTCTGTGAGACTGAGGCCAGCCTGGTCTACATAGTGAGTTCCAGGCCAGCTGGGGCTACAGGGAGACCCTGTCTCAAAAAAGAAAACAAGCAGGAAGAGAAACAGTGCCAAATCTTCAAGGAACCTCAGAGCTAGTGTATCTGGCTACTTAGATACACTACGAAGATCTCGCTAACGAGCCGGGAAGTTCCAGTGATCAGTGGCCTCGGTGGGACGCAGCACTGAGTCTTAAATACAGGGAGACCACGGCAGTGGCTAAGAGAACCCACCCAGTCATTGCCCTTAGCTGCATGTGGGGGAGGGGCCAAGGACATATAAGCCAAGAATGCCAGGAGGCCCCTCTCTCACCGCTTTCTGAGGTTGTTGAGAAGTCACAGGATCTATACTTGAGTGTGGACTTTCCAGTGCAGCCATAAATGGGGGGCACCCACTTCTCTGTAAATAAGCCCCCACCCTAAGCTCTGTTAAAAAAAGGAAGGGAGGGAGGGAGGGAGGGAGGGAGGAAGGAAGGAAAAGAAAGAAAAGAAAAGGAAAGGAAAGGAAAGGAAAGGAAAGGAAAGGAAAGGAAAGAAAGAAAGAAAGAAAGAAAGGAAAGGAAAGGAAGAAGAGAAAGGAAGAGAAGAGAAGGGAAGGGAAGGGAAGGATAGCTGTTTGGATAGATAGAGGAGAGGGATCTGACTAGATGGACTTGCATTGGGGAAGGTCTGGGGACACTGACTTGACACAGTGGGCCTTAACACCCAGGACAGGGTATAGGGCTTCCAGTGGGCAGGGGGGGTGTCTATGGGAGGGTGCTGGTGGGGATGGGACTATAAAGATGATTCCGATTGTTTGAGATATTCTGTATGAAATACAACAAAATTTAATAAAATCAAATTAAACAAAAAGATGCTTCAATTAAAGACTGTGCTAACCACAGTAGGACACAAATGAGAGGATGGCTCTGTACGGTGTTCTGTTTGAAGATGGAGAAAGTAAGTCAGATGGGGGAGCTTTTAGGAATTAACCAAAGAATGAGTCCCCCAAAGCAAAGGGAGTCGGGACCACAAAGACAGGTGGAACGTAGACTTCTGTTGGGGTGGGAAGGAAACAGATATGGACCGATAGGCAGATAGCTTTCAGAGGGCAAGAAATAAGTCCCAGGAGTTCTCATCAGGGGTCTCTGTGGACCCTGCAGAGTCCAAGTCTAAACAGAGTGGCCCCTAGCACTTTGAAGACTTGAGGAGAACATCTGCATCTTATCGCCACTCAGAGCAATGGAAAAGGACACAGAAGTGAGGGGCCAACAGAGGGCAAGTCCAGGATACTAGCATGGTACCTACCATGTTTGGGACACTGTTTGTGTCCCAGGTTCGTGTGTTTGTTTCCTTACATGGTATTGGACAGTGGTGGACCTTTAAAAATGAGGTCGAGTGGGAGACCCTTATGCCAGTAGGGGCACATCCTCAGAAGGAATTGTGGGACCCAGTCTCTCTGGCCTCTCACACATACTCGGCCATCTACCAACCCACTATGGGGAGCTTGTTAGAGGCTGCATAATGCTTTTTTGGATTTTTAGACCCCAAACCATGAGGTAAATAAAACTCTTTTCTTTATAAAGCTAGCCCATCTCTGATACTTCATTATAGTAATACAAAATGGACTAATGTGGTCCCAAGCCCCACAGCTGTGTAGGGTCCCAGCATCGCTTCATCAAAGCATCAATGCGTCAACCGGATGACGTCTGGAGCATCATTAAGGACAAGGGTCAGTTGAGGACATGGTTGATGACACAGTGTTTTAAGCCATGAGTCATGAGAGGCAGGCTGAGCAAGTCTGCCTGAGGACTCAAGCCCAGAAAACGGCAGATCAAAACAGGACCACACAGGTGAAAGCAAAAATGTCATAGCCAAAAGTGAAAAGTCTAACTTCAAATTTCAGACACAGAACTGACCACACGAGATCAACAGATCTCATGCCTCTGCCAACTCCTGACACCGAGCGGGCTTTGTCTCTGGACCTTGGTTCCTTCTTAATTTCATTTTACACTAAGACATGAAATGAAGTAGTCTTCATAAGAACTGTCACAGACCCCAACAGGAGGAGCAAATGCAAATCACATAACATCAGGATAAAACTAAATTATTTCAAAGCTAATCTTTGAACGTGTGCTTCTCTGATCTTGTGGTTTTTCAACATATCATGTAGGGTAACATGAGAGAAAAAATAAAATTCAAATCAGAATCGACTACTTGGAAGATCCAAGACAGTCTCCAAATTACTAGGATTACGTAAGTTGGATATTCACAAATTAACATCAGCAACCAAATAAATATGCAAAAAATAAAAGCCATAATAGAATGAGCAATAAGAGGGCCAGCAAGCTGCCTCAGTGGTTAGGTAAAAGTGCTTGCTGTTCAAGCCTGATGACCTGAGTTCAATCTCTAGATCTAGAAGGTGGAAGGAGAGAACCAACTCCCAAAAGTTGTCCTCTGACCTCCACACGTGCACACACACATAGGGAGTAATACATTTTTAAGTATATATTTATTTTATTTTTAACACTTTAATTGTGTGTGTGTGTGTGCACATGTACGCTCACATGCAGGTGCCTGCAGAGGCCAGAGGTGTTGGACCCCCAAGAGCTGGAGTTACAGGAGGCTGTGAGCTGCCCACATGGGTGCTTGGAATAGAGCTCTGGTCCTCAGCAAGAGCAGTACATTCTCTTAATTGCTGAGCCATCTCTTCAGACTCCCAAATATTTTGATGGCACTTTGTAGCCACTAGATAGCAAAGATTAAAAGTCTAGCCAAGGGTGGGTAAGGTACAGGAAGGCAGAAACTCCATACCACCACAGACAGGAAGACACGCTGTGCATCCCTCTGGGGAGGCTCACCGACCCCTGACAAAAATGAAGGTCAATCCCCATGATCCAGCAGTGCATCTCATAGGCAATTTTCCTACAGAAATCTTTGCACATGAGCCTCTATGGAAAGTGCATAAAAATGTTCACAGTTGCAAAAAAGCAGAAACCACCTAAATGTTCATCAACAAGGGAATAAAATAACTTATCAGGTCTCCTAGGATACCACACTAAATAACTCTGGTATGACGTTCATCCAGATGCAGCTCAGCATGGACAGATTTCAAAAACACTGACTGAGAGACACTATACAGAATTACATGTTAACGTGGTCATAGCCGGTATTACATGTTAACGTGGTCATAGCCGGTATTACATGTTAACGTGGTCATAGCAGGTATTATTGATGAATGCTTAAATGTAAATAAAATAGAATTAAATGCATGAAAATAACGAGAGTAACACTTTGGAGGCCCCGAGGTCTCCAGGACAACATGGGCTATCGCCAGTGCCCTTGGTCACCCACCATAACTATGTGGTGAGACACATATTGCAGAAGACCCCACACAGTTGGCTACAGGACACAGATATCAATCTCCACCCAACTGGGAAGCCTCCCCACTGCTGGCCAGCTTTCACAGTACCGGAAGATGCTGAGCAGGCTGCTGGGGAAGAAAAGACATCAAAGGCCTTGCCCAGCGCTGGACCCTGCATGCTGCACTACCGACCTGTCGGACAGTCGCACACACCAGTGCAATACTGACCTGTCGGACAGTCACGCACACCAGTGCCCTACTAGCATGACTGTCACAGCTACAATAGGGGCATGTCTGTTATAGGGTAACAAACCACTTTCTGGTTGGAATTGGATATGAGGACTGCTCCACAGGAGGAAATTTCATGCCTGGCACTAGAACCCTGGTCAAAAATCCATGCCAGGGAGGTCAGAGGCCCTGCTGCTACTTTTCTAAAGCCTGCACCCACAGACCTGGGGCACTCTCAACCTTGATCAAAGAAGCTTCTTTCTGCAGTAGGCAGTGGTCGGCGCAGTGGCACATAACTGGCCAAAGTGCAGAGAATAAAAGACTTCATGCTCAGCCCTGGGGGCACTTTCAGCAACCACCACCACCAGGGCTCAGGTGACATTGTGGGAGAGGCAGGAAGATTATAAGGATGGGGAGGAGGGCTGTGAAATGCCGTCTTCTGGACATGGCATGGCTACCACACTCATGAACTCACAGCAGCTGGCCCTACCTGCAAAGATGGATCCAGCCAAAATTCCAGCTTAGATGGGGAAGATGATCTCCAGGCCCCACCCCTTACTGGGGAGCTACTGGAGGAGGGAGATGGTCTCCAGGCCCCACCCCTTACTGGGGAGCTACTGGAGGAGGGAGATGGTCTCCAGGCCCCACCCCTTACTGGGGAGATATTGGTGATTGGCAGCTGCTGGGGAGGGAGCATCAGTCTTCTTTCCCATGTTCCAGTGGATGGCACCACACACATATACATATCAGCAGCACTAACTGACTTAAAGGGCTATCAAAAAAGAACATGAATTTTGGAGAGAGGGGTTCATGTTGGGAAAGATTTAGGGAGAGTTGGAGGGGAAATGGGAGGGGATATGATCAGGTTTCATTTTATACATGTATGAAATTCTCAAGAATAAAGAAGGTACATTATTTTTGTACTTTTTTATATTTTTAAACTTAAAATTATTTTTTCCAATCAGTCAACTCCATAGCTTCTTAATTCCAGCCAGTAGCCCAGAGGAAAGACAAAGTTGGGAAGGATACAGACAGGGATGGGGGCAGGGACCTGTGCTGGGACTCCCATCATCAAAGGGAATGGGGAGCTGCACAAGTGGGGGGCAGGGACCTGTGCTGGGACTCCCGTCATCAAAGGGAATGGGGAGCTGCACAAGTGGGGGGCAGGGACCTATGCTGGGACTCCCGTCATCAAAGGGAATGGGGAGCTGCACAAGTGGGGGGCAGGGACCTATGCTGGGACTCCCGTCATCAAAGGGAGCTGCACAAGTTGGGGGCAGGGACCTGTGCTGGGACTCCCATCATCAAAGGGAATGGGGAGCTGCACAAGTTGGGGGCAGGGACCTGTGCTGGGACTCCCGTCATCAAAGGGAACGGGGAGCTGCACAGGTGTGGTAAGACCTGCAACAGAGCCTGCTGAAACCAGTCAATGAAGACTCCAAAGCCCACTGTCCACCTCACCTCTCTCACGTGTCTTTTCAGATGCATGTACACGCTCTGTCCAGTTTTTCGAAAATGTCTTTCAACATGTTCCCTTCCAAAGGCCAAAAATGTATTCATGCATACATAGAGTCCGCCTTCAGAGTTCTAGAAGAAAGAGACAGGGCACAGCGTTAGCCAAGGATGCCTGGCCAAGCCATCAAGATACAGAGAAGGGGAAGAAGGAAAGTGATGAACACAAAGGTCAGCAAGGGGCGCCATGACTCCCGTAGGAATCTGCAGCAGCCCAATGACTCCGTAAAGGACCATGCTTATCAAATGCAGATGACCTTCACCCAGAGTGAGACAGCACAGGCTCTGGAAACACATGTGTCTGACTCTCCACATGGATCAAACGAAGAGAAAGAGAGGAGCTGTGGGCTGCATGTTGTGAGGCACATCTCAATTGTCAGTTTAGTGGAACTTCTGGGCTTGTGAGTTTCCAAGAAGGATTCACTGGCGGTGGGGGTGGTGTTCTGACAGTGGGCAGGTCCAGTAAGTCAGGGCCTAGATGGAAGAACAGAAGCAGGAATAGGCCAGCTAGTGCAGGCAATCCCTCCCTGCTTCTGGACTGCGGTGATGTAAGCAGCTTTACTCTGCCGTGTGCTCCCCTGTCAATGTTCTAACTCGCCACAGACCACAGCGATGGAATAGGCCAGCCGGGGATTGAGATTTCTGACACTGTGGCCCAGAATAAATCTTTCCTCCACTGGATTTCTTGTGCGTTTGTCACAGAGACTCTAACACACACACCTGCTAAGTCAATCATTACTTCTGTGAACCACTACGTGTTGCTTGTCAGTATTTCCCTTTTACAGTTTAAAAGAAAAAAAAAAAAAAACTTAAGCGTAAGTCATTTTCCCAAGTTCATACAGCCTGGAAGATTTAGAGTTAGATTTGAATCTGTTTCTCTTTTCAATCTCTTTGCCACATTTCAAAGCATATGAAATTATTTCACAAAATGTTCATGTTTCAGATACTTGATTTTCTATCTCCATTTCATCTCTTTTTTTCTCACTTTGCCTAGGACAAGACTCTCTGTACACTTAGGCTGTAAAATTACCTAGCCTTCTTTCAAAGAAGGTGGATCCTAGTAGACTACAGTCATCCCGTTCCTAAGTATGGTGAAACACACCTATAATCTCAGTACTCAGGAGGATGAGGCAGGAGGATTGTGACTCTGAGGCCAGTCTGGGCTATAGAGTGAGATCCAAAGGAAGAAAGGGAGGGAGGGAGGGAGGGAGGGAGGGAGGGAGG